ATTGTTTTTTTTTTTACTGGATGCACTCTGCACTGTTTTTTCCTGACCCCACTCAGCTGATTGATCCCTCTCCCGCTTTACGTCGTCACCCTACATTTTCTCCTCCGCTCCCCTTTGTGTGCCTGTTTATAGAGACAAGTGTGTGTGTGTTTGAGAGGGAACAAGTGTGACAGGGTTTGAAAGAGAACGTGTGCCCCCTGTACATGTCAGACCCCCATCCATCCCCTCACACAACCTTCCTTTGCCGTTCAGCCTTATCAACTCCGCCCTTCACTCCTTCGCTCCTACTAACCTGAGAACCCATGTGCCCTCTGCTTCCTCTCAGGCCCTCGTTCCTCCACGCTGTTCGTGGCCTGTCCTTCCTAAATACTGTCACTTTGTGCACGCGTGTTGGTCGACTTAAGCCTTAATAGTGCGAAAGTTGTGTCTGTGTGCAGCGTTGTGAAAGAATTAGATGACTTTGGATTACTGCCGAGTCAGTGGTCTGAATGAAAACAGCAAGTGAGCGCAGCTTGCTACTGATCAGGGGAAGAAATGTTAGTAGATTAGTCGATGTGTGTGTGATCTCGTGACGAAAAATTAAAGGAATTGTGATCTGAACTGTCTAAGACACATCAAAATATGGTATTGTTTCTTCTTGACCCAATAAAGAAACATAATCTCCTAATAGATGAATGTCTCGGCTACTACCACGTCAAATTTTAGCTCAGTGTCTGATAAATTAACCGAGTTATAGTCATTTTTAGTTGGTTTATGTCAGTTAGCCGTGGTGGCCATCTTGAATTTGATTGACTCCTCAATGATTTGTTCCTAAACGTTTCACTAAAATCAATCTATTGGTTCATGAGATATTTTGCTAACAAACATGGTTGACTAAAATGGTTTTTAAACAAAGATAATGCACAATCTGTTAGTGCTTAGAGTTTGTGTTGGGGATCATTTTTAGTCACAATTACACTAAATTTCAGAACAATTTCTGTAAAAAACTATTTTGTGTTTTCTAAGTTAAGTGTTACAGATTTCTTGAATTGTATTGGCTCCAAAAGCTAATCAATTGTAAATGTAAATTCAATGGTTGTTTCCTTAAAAACATCATAAAAACCCATTGAGTGGTTTCATGAGTGATTTTAACAGACAGATCTGACTCTAAACAGTGAGTGGCAAAATTTTATTCAAAGATCTTGTGCAATCTTTTACTCCTCAAAATATGTCTTAGGAATCACTCTCATCTACTACTACACCAAATTTTAGGTTGATTTCTGTAAAATTAACATTACAGCCATTTTTCTGTTTTCTTAGGGTTAGTTAGCCATGGTGGCCATCTTATAATAATAATAACTCAAACCTGTAAATAAAGTGGTTCTAGTTTCAGATCCCAGTACATCAGCGTTAATGTTTGCTTTTGTCTCAGGATGATGACATCACAACAAAAGCTGCACACCTCCGGCAAAGGCTGTGTTCCATTATGAAATTCTTAAATGTAAGTTTTATCATTTAGCCACAACATTCAAGATTTCCTTTTTTTACCTTTAGATTTATCGTTGTACATTCAGGAAAAAAAAACGACAAAATGTAAGAACAGAGTCAGCAAAGTGACAATGCTCGCAAAGTTAGTGAAAAATTTATAAYTAGGATTTTACGCTCAAGATGGCTCAGTTGGTAGAGCTGTCGCCTCCCAAAAAGAAGGTTGCCGGATCAAATCCTGGCAGGGGGACCTTTCTTTGCATGGGTCTCATAGGATAATTGGTAACTAAATTGTCTCCAGTCGTGAGTGGTCGTTTGTCTCTATCTGTCCCTTTGATGGACTTGCAACCAGTCCAGGTTGTACCCCACCCATCGCACAGTGACCTTTGGATGTGGGCCCCAGCGACCCCCCTGACCCTGAAAGGAAGCGGGTTAAGATAATGGATGAATGAATTTTAAACTCAAAAGTGAGCTAAATAATGAAAATATGTTAGTGACTTTCTTAAATATTTATGTTACACTTGGCACCCCATAAAACAAGCCAAAGCAAAGTGGTAAAACATGAAACTAAATGGGTTATGATTTATATTGATTACAAAGCATGCTTTCAACATATAATAGTTCCATCTCCACCTGTGATGTTCAGTTCTCCTCTCTGCTCCTCTACATGTAAACAACAAAGCRATGAAATGGCTCTCAGACCGTCATGTGGCCTCTGTATTTACAGTGATAAGACGGACGAAAAGCTGCTCTGTGTGGGAGCACGTCCATCCCAATGCTACACACAGACACAAAAAAACCACACAACTGCAGATTCCATCAGTGTGCAGGAAGCTGTTGTTCAAGTGGAATGTTGAGCAAAAAAAAAAAAATCTCAACTTACGTAAGACCCATGGTCGCGATCGGCCATACATTTGACTAATGGGCACAAAGAGGGCTAAGAACCAAATCTTCAAATCAGGGTTTGAGGGGGTGGGGGAGGACGTCTCAGGACACACAAAACACAGACAGATGTCTTTTTTACCCTCACATAGTTTATATAAAAAAAAGACACCAGACAAATGCACTTCAGCGCACTTATGTAAGGATTTAGGAGGCTGCACAGATGCTCAGTTATTCAAAATGGGACAGAAATATACAGCCAGAGTGTGGTGAAGAAAATGGGAGCAGAAAGCTGAGGAGAAATGCCTTCAGGTCCACACACACACACACACACACACACACACACACACA